ATTGCCCTGCTGAAGGAGACTTAAACAGGTACTTTGCAAATTCCTATTGAATTCCATTAAGAAATGCAGCTTTTCCTGTGACATCACCTGAGAAATACTGCAGAACTGATGTAAAAGATCCTATGTTATTTATAAGCAGTGGACCTGCATGTAGCTATGACATGAATAAGATAAGTACTCATGGTTTAGCCTGCTTATGATTTTAATTTCTTATTTAATTTACTTTGTCTAAACTTTTGCAACAAGAATGACACCTACTTACTGCATAAAAGTAATTACCATTACTGTGCTGTATGCAATAAATAGTCTCTTAAAAGGAGTCAGTGATAGATACAGTAGGGGGAGAATGAATCTTAGAAAAAGATTTTTCCTGGATTTGTCCAACAACTCCTTTCACACATTTTCCTAAGAAACTAGGGAAATGCTAAATCCCTTAGCTTCGACTTTCAATATCAGCTTCAGCTGTGATTTCTATACCGTGATAGCAAGATATAAATAGTGTACTTCTGTACAGACAGTCTTGACTCAGTGTTGATGTGAATCATTGGAGAACCAAGCTTTGATTCTCACACATGCAGTCACTTTACAGTCATTTTTGCAGAAATATGCAAAGAATTGCTCTTGGTGAAACACAACAAAGCAAGAAATCTAAATTACTGCCAAGAGTTTATAAGGCCAAACAAAAAAAGAGAACTTGAATCCAGCAACTCTGAACTCCTAGAAGCAGACAGGCAAATACATACATACACACAAGTCTGCGTGGATCATCAAGAAAAATATAGAAAACCATACATGTACATACAATCTGTAAATCAACAGATATCAGACTGTCCTTAGACTGTACAGACTGTAAAATCTGTCTCAAAATGAACACCTGGAACATTTAAATCTTAAATCTAGTCCATCGCCCAGCACTCGAGTACTTGGAGATTATATAAAGGACTGACTGGACAAACATCTGCACTTGTCTGCTAATGGATTTATTTTCTTGGCTAAATTCAGGCAACATGGCATGTTGTCCAAGCCATGATGCTAAAGTTTACAGTTACTATGTAAACTTTAGCCATCACTGTAAGTTCACTGTTAATATAAGATTTTCAGAACTTTATGGTCACATATGGAAGCTTATTTTTGGGTATTAGTAATTTTGACACTCTTTAAGTGGTTAAGGTCTCCCTAAAGCTAGAGATTGCCTCAATCTTCTAGTTTTCATTATGTGTTTGCTTGTTTTTTACCTTCTACCTTTGCAAGAAAATTCCAAAACCTAAAGTAACAGAACAAACAACGACAAGTCTTCTTGCTAGGTAAAAAAAATAAAAATAAAAATTAAAATCTCATTTCCCTTATACACAAATAAAAACCACACAAACCCTCCCTACAAATGTGTGTTTTACAACACGTATGTTTTACAACCATTTGATCTGTCCAAATCATGGTTTTCTCTCTAAAGCATACGTGTACCCTGCAGTGACTGTGTAGGTTCTTTACCTCCTTAATTTTCACTTGGCGAGTTGCCTAAGCCTCTGCTTTAAATTTCCCACTTGGTAGCACTAGTATGGCACCTGAAGAGTAATTAGTTGTAAGAAAGGGAATTTGAATTGTTTGCTGAGAAGGAAAAAAAATGTGCATGCCTACTAAAGATTTTTCCTTGAGTACCTGCAACACCATTTATTTATTTTTGCTTAGAATGCACCACCCTTTAAATAGATCAGTGACCATTTCTTGTTTTAAAACTTTCCAGAAAAAACTCAGTTAAAGAAAACTGGTTTTGTTTTAAGACCACGCTATTTCACTTTTAGTCAGTCTTAAATTACAGCAGCACCGATCTTGACAAAAATTTAGCCTTTTTTTTTTTTTTTAAAACAGTTTCCTGATAATGTTCTTTTAAATTTTATTTCTCATATTGCTCTTCTACGAACACCTAAGGTGTAGTCTTTTAGGAAGGCAAATCATGAAGATGTCTGAGCAGGCAGAATATTTCACCTAAACTACACATATAACTCTCTGTGAAGTTTATACTGTCCATGAAACTTTACATTATGATACTGTTTGTGAGATAGGCAGATCTCCACTGGTTCCAATGACCTCTGAAACTCTTTTGAACAATTCATTACATACATACAGATAGATATACATAGTTATGCAAAGTGAGTAACAGAACTGAGGTTTTCCCTCTTCTAGAAATTAGCAGTTTCCAGCTCTAAGAAAGTGAAAAGTGCTGCTCCTGATACTGCTTCTGCCTTCTGTGCAAAGACAGAAATGCAGAGAAGTTTGAGGGGGAGGGGATTTGATTTCTTTTTTAATGTCTGCCTCCTTCCAGCAAGTCCATCTGTTGTAGCACTATAATTCTGGAAGCAGGATGCGTGTGTGACCAACAGGAGACAATTACTGCAAAAGCGTTTGTTGATTCAGCTCTATAAAGGGCAGGCCAATCACTACACTATGGATAGAAAAGAATTCCAGCTGAGAAGCTGCATATAGATTAACATAAAATACATATACATAAATGAGAATGGGGAAAACCAGAAAGGAGTAATAGTATGGGAAAGGATTAAGTAGGAATGAAGACTGAGGAAGAGAAGAAAGCTAGCATCGTTGGGGTTGTTAGCCAAATAGTTTACTAGTCTGTGTTTTTGTGCATCTTGCCCTCTGGCTTTCCACCTTGACAAAGACAGATGTGTTTACATAGATATGGAACTTTTCTGAGTCGCCTTTGGAAGATGACTCTAGTTGCCTTGAGCACTCTGTTCTTAGGGCATGCGGAGACAGTTGGTTTCTCCAAAAGTGCCTGTTCTTCGCAGAGGTATGGGTGTTAAGTCATATGGACCGACCAGATTCTCAGGAAAGTTCTCAAGTCACAGGCTAAAAATGAAACTTTCCTGAACCATTTGGAAGCTGGAAAAACGTCAGCATGAGGAACACTTCTTTTTCAGAAGGATTAATGAATTGGGTTGATAAATCTGGCCTCAATAACAGATTAAGAATCTCAGATAAGGCATGATATTAGATATGCTAGATGTTAGATATTAGATATGCTAGTATCTAATATTTAATAATAATAATAATACATACCGTGCTAGTGTATAACATTTCATGATTTAGATCACAAGAGACAAAAATGAATGTTATTAAAATTTAATATAATTACAACAGAATTAAGCTGAACATTGTAAGACACAATAATGAAAAGTACCTTACCTCTATTGTTAGCTTACTAGCTTGAAGTCTCTGATCAGCCAAATGTAGCCGAGTTGTTAGTTTTTCATTGTTTTCTTTAAACCCCTTCACAGAAGACACTGCTGTATTTTTTTCGATCTGTAAAACAGCTATCTGCTGCTGCAATGACTTAATTCTTTCCTGCAGTAGATTAACACAGTAGCCTGGTTTCTGGACAGTGATGCTTCTTTTTGTTCTGTACACTAAACATAAAATGGCAGGTTACTAAACTGGCAGATCATCACAAGTAAGATGACTGCTGATTTTTCTTTGGCCCTTCAAAACACTGTTCCAACCTCTAAAATATTTTTCAGAGATCAAACTGGTAAATTAATTCAGTTAACCTGTAAGTGCTATATGTTGCTCTTTTCATGAAATGTCAACACTGCAAATTCAATAAGGACTTGGAAGTTAAATGTGGCTCCAGTTACTGATCCATATTACCAGAAATAAAGGCTTCATTGTCTTGTTAACAGGTTTTTTTAAGGTCTAAGCCACAATACAGTTGATTTTGCAAACAAAAACAAAAGGTAGTGAAAAGTTGTATTTCAGTCAGCAGATTCAATAGGGGGACGTAGTAAAAATAAAATATATTTGAACTGCGAAGAAAAGTTGTTCCAACTGTCACTTTATACATGACAATGAGTTAAAACTCTGAAAAGATACTCTCATAAATTTAAGCAAGAAAATCCTGAAATAGCATGTAAGTGTATTATGGA